CGTGCAGGAGGAGCCGATCCATGATTCTCATCATTGATGTTTCCCTCTCTCTCTCTCCCTCTCCCTTCCTCTCTGAGATCAATAAAAACATATTAAAAAAAGAAGACTTTCTTTGCCAACAGCAGGGAAAAAATGTCCAGTTTCCTCCTGGCCTGGTTCTGTTGGTTTTTTTTTTGTTTTTTTTTTGAGCTCTTGTGTTAACACCTACTTCATGAGGGAAGTCAGAATTTTATGTGAAAAGAGAAAAATGTGTCAGCGTGTTTCTAGCGCCGTGTATGCAAATGAGCCAGGAAGGTCTTCTGCAGGCCGCCACCAGGGGTCAGAGGTCACCCCTCCCGGCCAACAGTTGTTTGGATGAAAATAAACAGGGGCCAGGGGCTGCAGGAAATGAGTTGCGGTCGCCTTCATGCACGTGTGAAAGCTCCGGATTAGGGATCCACAGAACTTGCTGTTTAATGAAAAAGTGAACCGAATTCCTCTCCTGGGTTGCCTCACTTCCCTGGTGGTCCCTGGCTGATAGCTTTACAGATACCCCCCTCCCTCTCCCCCGCCCCCCCTGTACCCCCATCACCTTAGCCCCTCCCACCGCCCAGGTCTTCACCACCCTATTGCCTGTACCCATGGGCGGTGCCTATAAGTACATTAGTTTCTTTGGTTTCTCTCTTCTTGTCCCCCCAACCCCGCATCCAAGTATGTCAGCTGGTTCCGTGTCTTCCCTGCTGCCTCTGGTCTTATTCTGTTGGTCAATTCGGGGCACTTGTCCAGTGGCATCTGAAAGGCCACAGGGTCCTGGTCATACAAGGGATGGCATTGTATGGTGACTGCAAGGCTACCGCAGGCCGAGAGCTGACCCCCTGCCCGCTCCCTGCCCATCCACCTGACTCCTCTCCCTGGGCCCTGAGTGGGTCCGCCCATTTCTCTCCGCCGAGGACTGGAAGGTGACAGCCAGAGGTGCCCTCTCGGCTGGCATGGCTCAGTGGTCGGAACCAGGAGGTCACGGTTCGATTCCCGGTCAGGGCACAGGCCCGGGTTGCGGGCTCGATCCCCAGTGGGGGGCGTGCAGGAGGCAGCCCATCCATGATTCTCTCTCATCATGGATGTTTCTCTCTCTCTCTCCCTCTCCCTTCCTCTCTGACATCAATAAAAATATATTTTTCTAAAAAACCAAAAGCAATGCCTCCTGCTGCCCGTGACCTGGTGTGGGGTGGACAGGAGAGCAGGTGAGTGCCTGGCCCGGAAGCTCTGCCCACGGGGCTTGGCCGTGACCTTGCGCCACCAGCACCAGGGGCCGGAGGGGCTGCTCGGTGGAGGCCTGGCGGGCAGTGGTTTCCGGGCTCGCTCCCTGGCCGTTGCTCCGTGGCGATGACTCATGTCTCTGGAAAGTGTAGCTGTGCCCTGAACAGGGAAGTGAGAGAGGACCCAGCCCCGGGCCAGGCAGGCCGGGCGGGGGGCTGTCACCAGATGTGCAGCTCTGCTGTGGAAAATGGGGGGGGGGTTTGGGGACGCGGGGAGCAGCGGTGGTGGCAGGCACCCGTGAGCGGCCCCGCTGGTCCTGCCTCGGGCATCAGCGTTTCCGACGGCGGTCACTCCGTCGCCCCTTGGAAGCGCTGGTCTGGCCGGGCGGCCGCAGGCGGGAGGAAGTGGCCGGTGACTCAGTGAGCGCCGGCTTCCTCTCTGACTCAGGATCGCATCGCCTCTTACAGGGCTGCCAGGGGCCCGTGCGGCTGCAGCGGGAAGCTTTGAACTTGGAGGCAAACACGGAGGCCCTTTCCGGTGAGCGAGGCCGTGAGCTGGGTTCCTGGCCCCCCTGCAGGTTGGGGAGCCCCTCTGACTGGAGGCCGCCCCGGGGCTTCAGGTGTGGGACCAGCGACGTGGGAGCTGAGGCCTCGCCGGGGCTGTGCCCACCTCGGGGGCTCCCTCCTATTTGGGAGTCATATATTCTTTAAAAATATGTTTCTATTGATGTCAGAGAGGAGGGAGGAGGAGAGAGAGAGAAACAGCAACGATGAGAGAGAATCATGGATCGGCTGCCTCCTGCACGCCCCCTGCTGGGGATCGAACCCGCAACCCAGGCATGTGCCCTGACCGGGAATCGAACCGGTGACCTCCTGGTTCATAGGTCGACGCTCCACCACTGAGCCACTCCGGCTGGGCTGGGAGTCATATTTGGGGGAGTGGCTGGGTCTGAGGGCTTAGCCTGGGCAGATGTGAGATGGTGGAGCCGAGCTGAGCCGGTTCGTGGAGTCCATGTGTCCACTCAGCCAAGGAGACGACAGGAGGCCCCGTGTGCACGGCTGCCCCCGCCCCCCCTCCGTCCCCACGGGGGTCACGTTGGCTTTTTACTCCGGAGCACTGAGCTTGCCCAGGGTCTGTGGTCAGGGTGCTGCCTCCATGGCCGCCACCTGGTATCTGTTCTAAGAAACACTTCCTTATCCAAGTGATGGCCTCTGCCCGTGCGAATACAGTCGGAAAAGTATGGACTTGACAGAGACCTTGAGACCCTCTCAGAATTACGACAGGGTCCGTATTCCCTGCCCCGATGACCTGGACGCTGGTCTCTCCTCCCAGGTCGTTTCTGTCCCTCCGTCCCCTCCCGTGTCCACGGCCAGCGCTGAGGCCAGCCCGTCAGCTCCGGCGCATCCGACGTCAGGGTTTTAAATGAGGCGCTATTATTAGCCACAGGCCCAGACGTGCGACTGACAGCGGTTGGGGCTCCCACAGGGGCCGTGTGACAACTGCCAGGGGGCGGGGCCGTGAGGCACCTGCCGCTGGTACGGCCCTGCCTGGGGCTCTCCCACTGCTCACAGCGGCTTCCACCAGCTGCTGGGTTTATTTTAATGTTTTTATTTTATTGATTTCAGAGAGGAAAGGAGAGGGAGGGAGAGATAGAAACTTCAGTGATGAGGGAGAATCACTGATCGGCTGCCTCCTGCACGCCCCACACTGGGGATGGAGCCAGCCCTTGACCAGAATTGAACCCAGGACCCTTTGGTCCATAGCTGACGCTCTATTCGCTGAGTCAAACCATCTAGGGCTATATTGATTGATTGATTGATTGTTAATTCTCACCCAAGGATATATTTTCCATTGATTTTTTTAGAGCGGAAGGGAGGGAGGAGGGGGAGAGACACAGAGAGAAACGTCGATGTGAGAGAGACACATCGATCGGTTGCCTCCTGCACGCGTCCCGACTGGGGCCCAGGGATCGAGCCTGCAACCGAGGTACGAGCCCTTGACCGGAATCGAATCTGGGACCCTTCAGTCTGCAGGCCGGCGCTCTAGCCACTGAACCACACCAGCTGCGGCCCAACGCTGAGGTCAGTGTCCTGGATTGGCCTCTGTGCCTGGTAGGGGATGGGCATGGTGGCAGCTCCCACCACCTGCACACCTCGCTGCCTCCCTGCCACGGGGACCCAGAGCTGGAGTCCCAGGCCGAGAGGCCCTCCCCGGGGCCTGGTGGCCGTCACGGCTCGGTCACTGTGGCCACTGTGGCCGGGGAGGATCTCTGAGCCGACGGCTCACATCTGGGCCCTGTGATTGGTGCAGGGAGGGAGGGTTTTTCTGAACAGGGGGCTCCCGTCCTGGGCAGACGGACATCAGCCCACCACTTGGGGCTCACAGCTCCTGACGCCCCCGATCAGACTCCCCTGGACCCGTGGTGAGGGGCACAGCCTGGGGGGCAGGTTCCCCAGTCCTGGACCCCAGGGCTTGGCACTCCATAGAGGATGGGTGTTTTTCGGTTGCATTTTGGGGACACACATGTCGGGGCCACAGCTGTGAGTGACACAGCCCTGGGGGATCGAAGCAGCCGGGGCAGGAAGGAGAAAGGAGCCGTTCTCAGCAGCACCGCAAAACCGAAACCGAAGAAAAACCCCAGGAAAATCCCTCCACAGGCAGAGGAAATACCGCGGATGCTCTGAGCCGCACACTTGAGCGTCGAGGCTGGGCCGCCTGAGCCCGTGTGTTTGGGCCGAGGGAGGCCACGCCGGGACCCAGCCCGTGGGAGGCCCTCGGGGTGTGGACGCCCGTGTCTGTGCGTCTGTTGTTCAATCCAGAGCTGACCGGGGTTCACGGGGCGCCCGGGAGATAGGCCGGGAACTGGTTCAAAGTGCGTGCACCCCACGGGGTCAGGTGACTGTCAGCTGGCCTGGGCCTCTGGAGTGACAGGGGGAGGAACTCTGACCTCTGTGCAGCCCCCAAAATGCCCGTTTGGAAATCTCTTTGAAGATCGACGAGGCAAATGCTCCCCTAATAATAACGACGGAGGGGCAGCTGGCGGGCCTGCAAGAAGCAGCAGAGAGGCCGCCGAGAAGCTGGAAGGAAGCTGACCGGCCTCCATCTCTGCTCCTCGCAGCTGCCTCTGGCCGCAGCTTCGGGCTCAGGGAGTGTCTTCAGGGGACGGGTTTGAGGATGTGGACACTTTCACTCTCGTTTCATGGGTGTCACAGTGTCCGCACACAGCGGCTGGCGTGCCTGTGGCAGGCGGCTCACCCGGCCGGGCCTGGGTGTGCTGGGGGGCAATGCCAGCTGGTGTGTGGCCCCCCGGGAGCTGCAGGGTGAGCATACACGAAAGTCTGCTTTTCATGGGGAGGTGGGGGGGTGGGGGGGGGCGAGGGGGTCGTGTTCTCTCTTTTTGGCCAACACAAGAGTGGACCAGGCGTCCCTGGGAAGGAGCAGTGGCCCTTTGCCACTTCAGTGCCCTAATGATCTCCGAGAGGCTGTTGTAGAGGGGGGCGTGGTCGCCTGTCCAGCCCTCGGGGCTCCGGGACAAGTTTCAATGTTTGTCGACGATTCACTCATCACTGATCCATCCACGTACCTACCCCCTGGGGCTGGGGCTGCCATATCGTCACTCAGCCACAGGGAGACTGTCTTCTTATCTTTTAAAAAATATACATATTTTTATTGACTTCAGAGAGGAAGGGAGAGGGAGAGAGATAGACACATCCATGATGAGAGAGAATCAGAGAATCATGGACCGGCTGCCTCCTGCTCGTCCCACACTGGGGATGGAGCCCGCAACCTGGGCCTGTGCCCCGACGGGGAATCGAACCCTGACCTCCTGGTTCCTAGGTCGACTCTCAACCACTGAGCCACGCCGGCCGGGCCAGCGCTGTATTTATAAGCTGGCAGATAAGAAAAGACAGCGCCATCTGCTTCCAAACTCGTGCCTTCTCTCCGCGTGCTTTGAGATTTCATAAATGCCGGTGACCAGGCGTGTTTTCCAATGACCCGGTGACTTCCAGCCGCTCCAGCCAATGGGGACGGAGCCGTGATGATACAAGGCCTCGCGGGGCATGACTCATCCCTGGAGACATGACCTGCGTGGCCGTTGTGAAGGGCCTGCTCCTGTCAACATCGATGGCCAGAAACCATCCCAGGAGCTCCCGAGCGATGCGCGTGCAGGTAACGCTATGACGACGACCCGCCATCAGACAGGCTGTCCTTTGCAGAGATGCAGCCGCTGATAAACGTCACCTCTTCTCTCTCCCCTCCCCCCCCACAGTGGCTCAGTGCCCGTGTGTGACTCACAGTTGGTGTGTGACCGGCCCGACAGGGCAGAGAACATTTGGTCTGTAATGGAGAGGACACCCAAGGCCACGCTGGGCTCCGGGTTCCGGCTTCTTAACAAGCGTGGCTTTGCCAAGAAGGAAACGCTCCAAAGCGGTCTCCATCCCTGAGGGACTAAGGCAGGCACGGAGGGTACAGGGCGAAAGGGCCTCTCCCCATTGGGAGCCCATGTCTTCACACCTGCTTGTCCGGGGGGCACCGCAACGCTCCTGTTCCCCGTGGGCCCTGTGCTCCTCCAGGGGCAGCCTCTCCGCTCAAGTCAACGCGGCTGGGCCTGGCCGGTGTGGCTCAGTGGACAGAGCGTCCGCCTGTGGACTGAAGGGTCCCGGGTTCGATTCCGGTCAAAGGGCATGTGCCCAGGTTGTGGCTCGATCCCAGTGGGGGGCGTGCAGAAGGTGGCTGATCCAAGATTCTCTCTCATCAGTGATGTTTCTATCTCTCTCTCCCTTCCTCTCTAAATTCAATAAAGATATTTAAAAGAAAGAATCAGAGG